AGTATATATATATATATATATATATATATAATTTGGGTTTGGTGTTCTGCAAGAATGTAGCAGAGCACAGTCTTCTGCTTTTCCATATATATTAAATGATTTTGCTTATTTATATCACTTCCAAACAAGTGATCAACAGTGCTTATTGGACAATGCTTAATTATTAGTAATGTAAATCTCCTATCTCAATATGGCATTGACTAAGACAAATGTTAATGATGACCATGAACATTCTGAGAAAATAATCACTTAGCAACATTAAAAACACTTTAATTCCTATCTCAGTTATGGTATTGTACATGAAGATAATCATGGAGGTTTTTTTCCTAAGTAAAACAGAAAGGAGAATTAACATGTATATAGCTTGTGCTTGATTTTTCTAGCCAGAACTATGGTTGGATGGCATCACCAATTCAATGGACATGAGTTTAAGCAGACTGGGAGACTGTGAAGGACAGGGAAGCCTGGTGCGCTGCTGTCCATGGGGTTGCAAAGAGTCAGACACAACTGAGCACTTGAACATTAGATGAAAGATTTACTCTAAAAAGTTATACAGTTAATAAAATAATGGCTCTTAAATCTAAGAGATGTGCATTTGAATATCATCTCCATCATATATTAACTGGATGGCAGTGGACAAGACAGACAAGCATCTCACCATCTCTTATCTAATCTTTAGAACTTGGATAGTTGAATGTCCTTTATAAGTTGCTATAAGATTTAAACAAAATTATTTAAGCCCTTTATACCATATCTTACAAATAGAAATATCTCAAATAGTGGTGGTTGATTATAGTTAGTGACCAATGTTGTATCCTTGACTCTTGTAGTCTATAGCTGCGGATGAAGAAGATTCCAGTGCCATAAATCAAGATATGACTTTTCCTTTTCTGAAGATTTCCTAATGTTCCTCTTTATGGAAATCATCCTACTTTCTGGGTAGAAAATAGCTATCTCAGAATTTCTATTAACTTTACCCTATCTATAATGTGGTTCACCACCTACATGTAAATATATCATATATAATTTATTTCTCCATATCATACAATTAAAGAATCACTAGTTTGCACAACTGAGTCAAAAAGAACAAAATCAACTTCCTCATTATTTGATTCATACCCTTACAGCTCTAATTTCAAGTTCTCTGTGACCTCTTTAGGGAAAACCATTCACATGAATATAGCATTGGAGCAAAAAGAAATTTGTATCAAATGTATCTGAAGTACACAAATGTTTAAAAATATTTTAAGTACACAATGTTAAATTTTGAAATGTTGTCAACAACACCAGTCAAGTGGAAGTGCCTTTATAGATATTCCATGGTTATCAGGCTTAAGTTATTTAAGGCAATGTTATTTTGAAGTCCAAGCATCTTGGTGAACACGGACAGAAGTATCACAGTTCTACATATATGAGAAGACAATTTTGAAACTCAAAGCACAAAGGAGTATGAATTTTCCCACAACCTCATTATAGGTACCATGAATGCAAGAAATAGAATTATAATCAATGCTCAAATAAATCTATCAAATAAAAATCAGCAAATTAATGTGGAGGAGAGCAGCAAGCCACCAGGCAATTAGCAAACCCATCATTATATTAGAAAAAAAAATTTTGTTTGTATATCTCAAGCATCTGAAGACTATGAAGAAAAGGAGTTTAAATCATGAAGGGATTAAAGGCAAAAAAAGTAAAATCATACCCAAAAGAAAGGCTAAAATTCTACCTACTTTATGAAAGAAGCGTGCTATTGATTATAAAGAAATGATTTATAAAATTAAGCCACCTTGACAGCCCATGCCTGACAGTAATACACAAACTTATAGGGAGGTAAGAATTCTAACACGTATAAACTCAAATTAACCAAATTATGGAAATATGAATTATTATGGAAATTTTGAAGGCACACACACGAGTGGAGGGCACCAAATAGAATAGAATTTTTAAAAATGAATAGGAAGAATGAACTTGCAGCAGAATTGAGAAGTAGAATATTTGAGCCTCACCCACATGCTCCATTTCCATCAGTGATACTTTCCTTCTTGGTTGACTTAGCCTTGCTCATTTACAGGAAGCTGTGACAGTCTACTTCATTACTACTATTATTAGTATTTCCAACAATTAAATAATATTCTCAAGTGTATTTAAGAAGATTGTGGAGAAAAGAAGTAAAAATGACTGGACTTCCATTGTTCTTTAGAATAAACCATCACAAGAAAAAGACAACAAATATTTCAAGCAATGGACTTAGAGTAATTTGTTGGTGAACTACTATATGATTGACATTAATAGGCATGGTACATCCCAGAATTACTGTACTTACATTCTCGCAAAACTCCTGTTGATCTCCAATACCTCCAGAATTCAAACCTGGGGGAACACTAGGACTGAAGGCGATGAGGTCGGTCTTGGGCGGCCCCTCCCCAGAGCACACCCTCTGCCGCCTCTCCTGCGAGTAAGACCAGCTCCCCACCGCGCTGGAGCACACCAGCCTGGGCTTCCCCGGCCCGCACGCGCCCTCGCTGGGCGGCGCCGAGCACCGCAGCGCCGTGTACAGCAGCAGCGTGAGCACCAACAGGCTGGACACCGCGCAGATGGCGACGATCAGGTACACGTTCACATCCACTAACGCCGTCTCTGCGCCAGCTGCGCCAGACAACGCCCGCGAAGAGGCCTTGGGCGCCTGGCCGCTGTCCTCCAGCGACAGCAGCACGGTGGCCGTGGCCGTCAGCGCCGGCTCGCCGTGGTCCTTCACCAGCACCAGCAGGCGCTGGCGCGGCGCGTCCGCCTCGTCCAGGGCGCGCGTCGTGCTGATCTCGCCGGTGTACAGCCCCACGCGGAACGGGCTGCGCGCGCCACCCGCCGCCGGCTGCAGCTCGTACGACAGCCACGCGTTGTAGCCCGAGTCCGCGTCCACCGCGCGCACCTTCGCCACCACGTGGCCCGCGTCCACGGACCTCGACACCACCTGGCTCACCGCGCTGGGTCCCCCGCCTGGCCCGGGCGGCAGCAGCGCAGGCGCGTTGTCGTTCTCGTCCAGCACGAACACCTGCAGCGTCACGTTGCTGCCCAGGGGCGGCACGCCCGCGTCGCGCGCGCTCACCTGGAACTGCAGCAGCTCCAGCTCCTCGTGGTCCAGCGGCTGCAGCGCGTACACCTTGCCGCTCTCCGCGTGCACCGACACGTAGCTCGACAGCGCGCGCTCGCCCACCCGCCGCTCCACCAGCGAGTAGGTCACCAGCGCGTTCTCCTGCGCGTCCGCGTCTCGCGCAGACACGGTGAAGATGTGGCAGCCAGGCGGGTTGTTCTCCTTCACGAACACCGTGTACTCGGGCTGCGCGAACGCGGGCGCGTTGTCGTTCACGTCGGCCACCTCCACGGACACGCTGGCGGTGGCCGACAGCGAAGGCGAGCCCCCGTCCCGCGCTGTCACCACCAACTTATAGACAGACACGCTCTCACGGTCCAGGCTGCCGTCCAGCAATAGTGAATAGTAGTTCTTGAACGTGGACACAATCTTGAAGGGGACGTTGGGCGTTAGAAAGCAGGTTACCTGTCCATTGTCGCCAGAGTCTCGATCAGATACACTGATCAGCGCAATGACAGTGCTTGGCTGAGTGTCCTCTCGTACTGGTAGAGACAGGGAAGTGACAGTGATTTCAGGGGCGTTATCATTGGCATCTAAGATTTCAACCCAGACTGTGCAGTGACCTGCCATTGGGGGATTCCCCTTATCTGTGGCCTGTACTTCAATTTCATAAAACTTGTTTTCTTCATAGTCTAAAGTTCCATTGACCTTCACTTCTCCGTTATTTTCATCGAGTGTAAATAAAGGTTTTCCATTGGGCTTAATTGACATTAAGGAGTATGTCACCTCCCCGTTGACTCCTTCATCTTGATCTGTGGCATTTAACTGTATCACAAGAGTTTCTTTAGCTGCGTTTTCCATCAGTCTCACCTTGTATTCTGATTGTTCAAATTCCGGATCATTGTCGTTAATATCCAAGACGCGGATGAAGAGTTGAACAGTGCCAGTGAGCTCCGGTTTCCCTCCATCTGCAGCCGTCAGTAGTAAATTAAATTCCGGAGTTTTCTCTCTGTCTAAAGACTTCTTTAACGTAAGTGACAGTTTTTTAGTCGGCTTACTATTTATTGGTAATTCTAAAGAAAAGTACTCATTTTTACTTAGTCTGTAGGTCAATTGAGCATTCTCTCCTATATCCGCATCAGAAGCTCCCTCTAGAGGAAAACGAGAGTCAGGTTGTTTAGATTCAGAAATCAGCAGCTTTTGTTCTCTGAGAGGGAACACAGGCGGGTTGTCGTTAATGTCCTTCACCTCCACCTCCACGTGGAACACCTGCAGCGGCCGGTCCACGATCACCTCCAGGTGGATGCTGCACTCCGCGCTCCGCCCGCACAGCTCCTCCCGGTCGATCCGAGAATTCACAAACAAAATGCCATTCTGCAGATTTACCTCCAGAAGGTCCCCGCGGCCTTTGGATGCCACCCGGAACAGGCGGGGCACCAGCTCCGCCAGCTCCAGCCCGAGGTCCTGGGCGATGCGGCCCACGAAGGTGCCGTGTTTGGCCTCCTCGGAGACTGAGTAGTGGACATGATTGCTCCCAGTTTCCCAGGCCGCGAGAAGCAGAAGTGAGAGCAGGAGGCGCCGGGCTCCCGGGCCACCAGATCCTGAAGCTAACATCGCTCCTGGTTAGTAAATCACATTTCCTGAGTAGAAATACGTAGTCCTTTCGAGATCTTTGAGTCTTAGTCCTGATATCCCAACTAATCTTAACAATATGGGTGTGTGTATAGTCTTTAAAGCACCGGAACAGTGATGGGTCTTTCTGTTCCGGGAATAATCTTTACTTTTTTCCGTTCAAACAATCCTCTCCTTGGAGAACAACGACATCCTGTGGGTCAAAGTGGAAGTGCGTTTGGCGTTCATACTATTTCTTTCACTTATTTGACTTCTTTCTTGATTCCTTCTTATTAGTCTGTTTTTGTCAGCCTTTAGTTCTTTCATTCCTTGTGTGTGACCACTAACTCTTTAAAGGTGGTTTGGTTTTAGAAGTTAGAATTCCAAGAAGAATTCTATTTTTTATATAGACATCTAAGAGAACATACTACTGCACTATTATGTATATGATATGAAAAAAAATCCATGTTTGTAAGTTACTAATGATAGTTTTTTAAAGACTTTCAGAACTTGATAATTTTGAATGACCTGTTACTAAGTTTATTTAATTGCTAACACTATAATTTTCTATTGCTTAAACCTTATACTGTGTTAAATTACTCTAAACATTTAGTCCAGTTGTGTACAAGATAATTCAAAATGCCAATTCTGTTACCTTCTCAACATGATGATGTTTCGAATCAGTGCTAATATGCAAGCTACTTCTAAGTTATCCAAAAACTTATTTGCTCTGATGCTAATGAATTTACCAAATACTGACTCCTGGAAATATGAAACATATTTATCTTTGTCTCATTTAAAAGTTTTTTTTCCAATTACTAGATCTGCCCAGGGTGAATGTTGTCATTTCCATCCTGAATGACAACTTAAATTTGTGTTATATCCACTGTTGTTTTTAAAAATAACCTTCCTAATCCCCCCTAAAACCATACTGATCAGAAATCCAAATTGTATTTGTCACTTTGTTCATACCCATTTTATTCCAAAATTGGCTTAAGGAGACTAGGGTGTAAAGAGCATTCTAAATATCATGTAATCACTCAATTTTGTTTTCCTCTTTTATCTCATTTTTTTAAACAATGAAATTTGCCTAACAATTATTCATCAATTGCAATAAAGCTTATCAGTGTTGTCTTAGAAAAAAATATTTTAATCATTCTCAAGTTAGTTAAGGAGCCAACTATCCAATATTTGAAATCTTTCCAGAAAGAGGACAGTCATTTGGAAAATCCCATTTCTCTCCTTAAAAAAATTATAAGTAGTTATCCAAAGAAATCTCACATTTCATGTAAAAGTGAGCTACAATATCTATTCTGAACACTTTATAAAATAGTGAGTCAATAATTATAGATCTATGCCAAAGATTTTTCATTCTAATTACTTCTCTTTTATTAATTGTGGAAACCATAAATTCAAGACCAACATATTTACCTAAAAGACAGCAGGAAAATTTTAGCATATAGGTGTGACTAAATTCAGAAAGAGATATGACAAGGAAACAAACCCCTGCATGTTTGCTGATAGAAATGCTCCAGTTCCTATGAGAATGACTCCATGCTGAAAATCTGTTCCACTTTTGGCTTAAAGAGTTGTTTCATTGATTAAAAACATATGAAAGATAGCTTTTAAAGCTCCCACATTCCAAGGCTATCATATAGCTAACTTACTACAGTATATTAATAAACCTGTGGGTTCTTCACTCATCTTTAAACAGGCTATCACAAATACTAAGCCATTGAGAGTCGGGGATACTAATAATTTGCCTCATTTTAATGCCATCTAATACAGAGCATGTTAAACAGAGTTATAAAAATAAGGTGTTATAGTTTCAAAACAAATGGACTAACTCCTTTTTTGGCAAGAATGTTAAAAGCAATCCTTGGGGATTTCCCTAGTGGTCCAAAGGTTAGGATTCGGTGCTTCCCCTGCAGCATGCTCTGGTTCCATCCTTTGTGGAGAAATTAAGATCCCTCCCTCAAGCTGGGTGGCTCCAGGGAGAAGGGGTGAGAGTAATGCTTGACTCAAGAAATTTATATGACTTGATTCTAAAATGTCAGTCCTTCTGAATTGAATGAAAGAAACTGTCCACAAAGTTTTTTAAAAGATATATGTTGGGCTTCCCTGGTGGTTGAGTGGTAAAGAACCTGCCTGCTAATATAGAAGATATGGGTTCCATCCCTGGTCTGGAAAGATTCCACAGGCTGCCAAGCAACTAAGCCCATGCACCACAACTGCTGAGCCTGTGCTCCAGAGCCCTGAAGGGGCAATTACTGAGCACACGTGCTTCAACTACGGAAGCCCATGAGCCCAAAAGCCTTGCTTTGCACAGGGAAGTCACTGCAATGACAAACCCATGCACAGCAATTAGAGGGAAAGCCCTACTCACCACAACTAGAGAAAAGTCTACACAACAACGATGACTCAGTACAACCAAATATTTTAAAAAATAAAAATATATTTATCTTAATAACAGAGCCACTGTAAAAAATTGTTGCATTAAAATTTAAAATCAGTAAAATAAAATAAATAAAAACGAAAAATATTTTGAGTCCAAAACACTTAACTCCATTGATTAGGACATATTTTATGAACTATCTCCCACTATACATACTCCAATGTGTAAACACTGAAGTTCAAGTATGCATTAAAAGTTATGTTGCACTACACATATTCTTTACTTAAGGAGCAAAACCCACATTTTTACCACAGACGGAATTGATCATAGCCGTTTTTTTAATGCAATAGGGTCATTTCAAATTTTAGATTTAATAATAAAAGTACTTTCCTTACAAATATTTGTAACATAAAAAGATAGTGGTTTTGGGGGAAAACATCAAAACCTGAAACCTACACAAAATATTTGTACTGAAAAATATAAATGAATTTAGTATACAAGGCATTTACTAAAAATTGAAGTATCAATCAAAAGGTGATGCAGAGAGTACTGTAAACAAAATATAAAGTGAATCTTTAGAAAAAAACAATATTACAAAACTTATTACAAGAAATGTTTCAGATATTTTATAAAAATGTATGTTCTTTAGACAAAAGATAAAGATACTCCAAGAAATATATTTGAGGCAGGAAAACGGGGTAAAATAAAATATTCACGCAGCAAAGCATGAAAATAAAAAAGTAATAACCCACCTTGATAGAGTGGTCGCCTTCAATAGACTGTTCTTCCACTTCCACTTCTGGTTGCTGACATGGCGGAAGACAGGGACTGAAGGCCATGAGGTCGGTCTTGGGCGGCCCCTCCCCAGAGCACACCCTCTGCCGCCTCTCCTGCGAGTAAGACCAGCTCCCAACCGCGCTGGAGCACACCAGCCTGGGCTTCCCCGGCCCGCAGGCGCCCTCGCTGGGCGGCGCCGAGCACCGCAGCGCCGTGTACAGCAGCAGCGTGAGCACCAACAGGCTGGACACCGCGCAGATGGCGACGATCAGGTACACGTTCACATCCACTAACGCCGTCTCTGCGCCAGCCGCGCCAGACAACGCCCGCGAAGAGGCCTTGGGCGCCTNGGGTTGTCGTTAATGTCCTTCACCTCCACCTCCACATGGAACACCTGCAGCGGCCGGTCCACGATCACCTCCAGGTGGATGCTGCACTCCGCGCTCCGCCCGCACAGCTCCTCCCGGTCGATCCGAGAATTCACAAACAAAATGCCATTCTGCAGATTTACCTCCAGAAAGTCCCCGCGGCCTTTGGATGCAATCCGGAACAGGCGGGGCACCAGCTCCGCCAGCTCCAGCCCCAGGTCCTGAGCGATACGACCCACGAAAGTGCCGTGTTTAGCCTCCTCCGGGACCGAGTAGTGGACCTGGCCGCTCCCAGCGTCCCAGGCTGCAACAAACAGAAAGGAGAGAAGCAGGCGCCGGGTGCTCAGACCGCTGGGTCTGTGGACCAACATCATACCCATCTTCTGTTTTACAAATCAATAACTGGGTCGTCGAGAACACACCCACACGCTCCGAATTTTCCTATTCCATATCTTACATTCAATTTTATCGAAATGGCTGAGATCTCCGAATGTAGCTCTTTCCTAGTCCTTGAGAAACAGGATTATGAGTCTGTTCTGAAAAGCCATTTTTGTGGAAGACAGCGACATCCGGTGGCTTAATGTGTAAGTACAATTCCATGAGTTTAACAACTCATTGGTATCTTTTCATTGTATTTTCACAAATTTATATCTTTATGAACTTTCAAAGACATATTATGTTTTTTCTGTATACAATAATGATCATTGTCCATATGCAGTGCAGCATTTTCTTGAATGGAAAAGCACCCAGAAGTAATTCCTTCCAACCATGACTGTCATTAGCTAAATTTGAAAAAAACTTTAATATTTGTATAATACTGAGTGTACTAGTGTTTTGTTGGATAACGAATTTAACTCTCTTCAACTTCTAACACAATTCACTCTCTTCATCGTTATTTTGATATTAAGTAAACCTTATTCAGACACTATTTTCAATCATCAATTCTCTGTGAGGTATTTGCAACTTCTAAGTGCCAATCATCACTAGAATGCAGAGAAGGTCACAGGCTTCAACATCAGGAATTCCTCTCTTCTTATTCCTGGTCTTCAACTTACTAGCTGTGTGACTTGGGGAAAATAATCTAACCTCTCCATCTCAGTTTCCACCTTGATAACACTCACAGAAGATTAATAATAACACAGTGGTTGCATGAATTATGATATATTAAGTGCCTAGGATAGTACTTTAAGGAGAGTGAGTGTTTCATAAATGGCAGTTATTCTCAGAACTCACTTTAGCCACATTGTTTTCATAATGCTCAAGACCAGAATTGGCTCTTTGGGAAAAATTGTTACCTATAGAATGGTGTCACCCTATAATCCTTTACTATTGCTACTGCACAGGCTGAGCAGTGTTCCTATCTTTAAGGGAACAGAAAAGTGCTTTTATTGAGAAATTAGTTACAGAGGGGGGAGTTTCAGTTTTTTATATACATCTTACATGAGCAAAAAATCTTAATTATGATTTAAAATAATATAATTTGATTTCTACTTTCAGAGACAACTAATTTCATCTTTGTCATATTTATGTTTTTTCAAATACCCCAAATACAGAGTTTTGGCTTTATCTAATAATTTTGGGTTTCAATAGTTTTTCATCACCTGTGGTAAAAATATTTCATCTCAAAATTCTTGGAATAAAATATTCAGTAACTGAAATTCTCAATTAATACATCTACACTAATGATAAAACCTGAAGTTTCTCCTTTTCCAAAGAGGAAAACTTAGGAGTTTTGTCTGATCCAAAGGATAATTTCTTTAATTATGTTTTTATTTTTAAAAGAAATCAATAATTTTGAACTCTTACAGTCATTAAGAGCTGGAAAATAGAATATTTATGAATAGGAAAATTTATAGGAATGAGGGTGATTTAATTCACTGATGTATGTATGCTGCTAAATTCTGATATTATGGTCCTACACTCCTCTAGAATGATTCTAGTGTCAAAGTCTATTCAAATTCTGATTTTAAGAGTTACTTTTCTTACAAAACATAATCAAAATTTAAATGAGTTCATCTATCCATCCATAATAGCAATGTTCAGCGTGAGCTGTCAATACTATCTGGAGTCTAAAAATAAGTTTATCATTGATTAATCATCTCAACACAAGATAATGATATAAGGTAAATTCTATTGCTGTTAATGAGCATTTTTGAACCAATTAATAGCATAAATGTCCCAATATAAATCTCCAATAATGAATAAAAAGTAGTATAGTTAAGTTACATCTTGTCAAATGATAAGAACTTACATTCCCAAGCAACTCATTAGAGCTATTGCATCTAAAACTTCAGTTGGATAAGAGTTACCTGGAATGCTTGTTAAAATACAAATTTTACTGCTAATTTCAGAAATTTGAGGTGATGTCTTGGAACCAGAATGTTCAGTTTTGAAGAAAGGCTGACCACAGACCCCAGTCAGCCTGGATACCCTCTGTGTTTGTCTACAACCTTATATAAATCTGTATAGTGCCCCTTTCACTCTCAAAAGTGTCTAAATGTCATAACTTTAGTTAGCCCTATCTTGACACTACAATTCAGGGACTGGCATAGGGGAGCTTCATTGTTGGTCTCATGATTCTGGCTTAAAGTGAAGAATGTTATCTACAGATAAACAGAGGGGTAGTTACTAGGCAGGCGAAACACTGAAGTGTCTTCCAAGCTCTCACCTCTCTGTTCTGGCCTCTGCCCTCTTTTGGAACTTCCCAGTTCCCCGAGTTATACTGTGCTCATGTTCCTGATGGCCCGAAAAATAAATGACTAAGATGTTTACTGATCTGAAAATTTGCACACAATGATAATCCATGTTCTGGGAGGGAATAAAGATTAGTATAAGTGACCAAATTACTAATTATACTGATACAATTAAAATGATAAAGAATAAAATGTATAATTATAGAAGATGTAATAACTACTTAATGAATAATACTAGGTCTAAGATACTAGAAGAGTGGTGGGAATTTGGGGGAGAAGCAAATGTCATTTCTAGTATCCTTCAATCCATATAACATAATCAAATACCTTGACCCACATACAGGTGGCATATGGAAACTGAAAAAGTGCACAGACAGAAATAATTGAAAGTATAAGTCTGTATTTAAAATGAGTTATGCCAATAGACATAGGTTTTATTACAGGAGTTCAGAAAATACTCAAGTTTTTAAATAAATAGAATGGAAAAAAGTAGATTGCTTTGTAGCATATACCAAATATGTTCTTTGGAAACAAGAAAAGCACTGAAGTGCTTAATTTTAAGAGATTTTTACTAGCACATTTATGGTTATATTCTCAAAGCCATTCTGATTTTGCTCTGCTGAGTTTTCAATTAAGAAATACCTTGTAAAACACCTGACACAATAAAGAATAAAATCCCTGAGTAGAAATACAAGGTGCATTACAAAAATACAATGCAAGAATAAAGGAGGTTTTTAAAATATAAATTAGAAAAGAAAATGAATGTTCAGACTAAAGATAGAGTGTGGAGAACCACCAATTTGAAACTCACAAGCCATAATCCAGGAAATGTAAATTTAACATGTAATAAATTTAAAGGTGCACAACCTCATCTGCATGTTTCTGTCTTTTGGACTATTGCAAGAAAAAAAATCCTCTTGTAAACTGCTTAAGTTCCATACAGTTAATTTCAAGAGAATTCAAAGTGCAGAATGTAGATATATTTTTAATGCTTCAGCATTATTATATCACTAACAGAAAAAAAATTAAAAGGAGAAAGTCTTCTTGAGGAAAGAGTACCTTTCAGGAAGTATTTTCAATATCAGATAGAACATGAATTTCAGGAAATTTTCTAAGTGGTAGAAAAGATTCTTAACCAACATTTTCTTGTGAACTACATTGTCAGACAATGTAAAAAAAATTTTTTTTAACAAGAGGGAATGAGTTATATTTGAAACACTTATATTCAAAATGAGATTCCTAAAGTAAAGCATCTCTTTTCTAGGTATAGAGAAAGTTACTCATTGAAGTTACAGACACTAATTACTGCTGACTACCGTGTCTCCAAAAAGGTAGACAACTACAAAGTTAACAAGATCACAGTTACTCATATACCTGCTATAGTAAAGTGAAGAGGCTCAGTCCTGTCCAATTGTCCAACTCTTTGTGACCCCATGGACTGTATAACCTACCAGGCTCCTCTGTCCATGGGATTTTCCAGGCAAGAGTACTGGAGTGGGTTGCCATTTCCTTCTCCAGGTGATCTTCCCGACCCAGGGATCGAACCCAGGTCTCCAGCATTGCAGACAGACGCTTTACTGTCTGAAACACCAGGGAAGCCCACTCACTACACTTACTCTGGGGTGTCTTAAAAACAAAAGAATTAAGACTACAGTACCATGTATAGTTTAGAATGGTGTTGCCATTTACTTAAAGTGTAATGACTATATTTGTTTACACCTAATAGTTTTCAGCTAAGGTGGCAACAATGGAGCATGAATTCAATGTGACTCCCAGAACAGGTTCTAAGTAAAATGAATTTGGTCCCAATAAATATCTATTTAATGCATGGTTCATAATAATTCTCTATTGAAGTACAAAAAAAAAAAATAAAAAAACACAAAAATGAAGGTATTCACTTTCTGCAAATAAATTTAAGCATCCTGGCAGAATAGGATAAATGGATGAAAACCATTCTAATATACCTTAGAAGATAATTAAGATTTTTCAAGACGGAATACAAAAATGAACAAATAAAATATTGGAATAACCCACCTTACCAGAGAAGTCCAAAGAAGCCTGTGGATCCTCGGCTACAGAT